ACACACACACACACACACACACAAACTCACACACACACTCACACACACAGACACATACACACATACATACACACACACACACTCACATTCACACATACTCACTCACACACACAGACACATACACACACATTCACACACACACATTCACACACACACATTCACACACACAAACTCACACACACACTCACACACATACTCACACACACAGACACATTCACACATACATGCACACACACACACTCACATTCACACATACTCTCACACACAGACACACACACACACATTCACACACACACATTCACACACACATTCTCACACACACACACACACACACACACACTCACACATACACACTCACACACACAGACACATACACACATACATACACACACACACACACACACACACTCACACACTCTCACTCACACACAGAGACACATACACACACATTCACACACACACATTCACACACACATTCTCACACACACACACACCCAACACACATTCACACTCACACACACACACACACACACACAAGACACATTCACACATACACAAACTCACACTCACACACTCTCTCACACACACACTCACACAGACACTTTCACACATATACACGTTCACACTCTCACACACAGACACATTCATACACACACTCTCATACACACATACATACACGGGGGGGGGGAATGGGACAGCAGAGATTAATCAGTATGGCAGACCCCCCAGCTGGTGCAGTAGGGCACTGAGCTTAGAACAGCCCCAGGACTGCCCATCCAACTCTCTCAGGTTTCTGTTCTTCAGTCTCCATCTCCCACCAGAAAAAGGTTGGGTGGTGAGGTGTCAAAAAGCCAGCAAGCAGATGGCAGAAAAAAAGAGTGTCATTGCCACAGTCAGGGACTGGCTGTGCCCTCCTGGCTAGAAGCCCACCCCTCCCCACCCCCCTGTTCTCCAGGAGGTGGGAGGTCTCATTTTCCACTGGTCTCCTGTCTTTGCAATGGCCCTTGGAGACAACACAGCTGAGATCTGGAAAACCAGAAGCAGGGCAGGGCCCAGCATGAATGCTGAGACCAGGCCCCCCATTCTGCTCCTACCACTGACCAGCAGAGCGGTCTGGGGGCACTTACCCAACCTGAGATTGTATCTCTCTATCCCTACACAGGCACAATATTCCTTATGTCCCCACGCAGACATTCTGAACGAGAGCATATTAGAGACTAAAGTAGGGTTCTACACAAAGGTAGTGCTCAGAAATTGCAGCCCCAAACAAGAAGGGCCTGGAGGGATGACAGAGTGGTAGCTGGGGTTTCCTCCAGCGTGTTTTGGAAGTCACCAGGTTCCAGCTGTAAGGTCTTACTTTTGTGCACCACCAATGCTGACTCCACTTTAGAGACCCTTGGGTACTTCTGGGGCTGCCCCGACTCCCTGGGTCATCCCAGGTGACCTCTACCACATGAAGCATGAGAGTGAGACTCCCAGAAACAAAGTGTGGCATCTGGGAGCCACCACATTTCCCCGGGCTGTCTGCCAGACGGGGTCCCTCGCTGACTCATCCTTATGGCATTCTTTTACAGGGAAAACTCAGCACAGCAATGTCACTGTGTGCAGCTGGGATCAGAAATAAAAGTGGGTGAGTCCCCAGAGCAAAGGGCTGAGCTGGGGCTACCAAGCCTAGAGAACAGGGATCCAGTTGCTGGCTCCGAATTCCCTAGATCCATCTAGAGTGCGGGACGTGGCTGGAGTCTCGCAGGCCCCAGAGCAAGCGGGAAGCAGGGGCGTCTCACTGGTACCACAAGCTGCCCAGGAGCGCAGCGCGGGTCCCGCCTCCTAGAGTCGCAGCAGACTGGCGGTGAGCACCATTTCCCTCTCTCAGATCCATCCCGCCTC